TGGCACGCAAGGAGGATCTCATCACGCATGTCTGTAGGAACAACGAGTAGGAAGGCTTTGTCGCTACCACGAGCGTTTTTCTTGTATAGATTGCCTCTTCTTAGACAAAAAGAGGACAGTTCGCGAGCAATGTGTTGAGGGACCTGAGAGTTGCGGCCTTCCAGGGAATCAATGACTGGGCGTATTTCGTCGTCTGCCCGCTGCTTTGACATAAATTCGAAGTCGCTAACTGCTACGAGAAAGGCATCTTCATCTTCGGAGCCCCTGACAGCGTTCCCCACAGGCGCTCGAGAAAGCGCGTCCGCGCCTTCGTGTTTGCGCCCCGACCTGTACATAATCGTAATATCGAACTCCTGCAAACGCAAACTCCACCGTGCGAGACGGCCGGATGGATCTCTGAGATTTGCCAGCCAGCAGAGCGAGTGGTGGTCAGTCACCACTTTGAAGGAACGACCGTAAAGGTAAGGCCGAAATTTGGTCGTCGCCCACACGACTGCAAGGCATTCTTTTTCTGACGTAGAATAGTTGGTCTCGGCTCGAGAAAAAGTATGACTGGCGTAAGCTATTACATGTTCAACGCCACCGTGTCGTTGTACAAGGACAGCGCCAAGTCCGACGTTGCTGGCATATGTATGAATTTCTGTAGCAGCGTCCTCATCAAGATGGGCAAGAACAGGGGCTGTTTGCATTCTCTGTCGTAACTCTGTGAACGCTGTATCTTGTTCTGCGCCCCAAGTAAAGGGCACGTCATCTCGGGTGAATCACGTAAGAGGTTCAGCTATCTTCGCGAAGTTGGCGATGAATCGGCGATAATACGCGCACAAGCAGTGGAAACGGCGTACTGCTCTTTTATCTAATGGAACAGGGAAGGCGGCGACAGCAGCAGTTTTGTCTGGATCAGGTCGCACTCCATCCGCATTAATGACATGTTCCCAGAAATTTCAGCTCTTCATAGCCGAACTGGCAATTTTGAGGTTTCAGCGTGAGTTCAGCTGTGCGAATGGCTTAAGAACCTTTCTCAGACGCTTCAAATGTTCTTCGAAGCTCTCGGGAAAGATGACCACATCATCGAGGTAGACAAGGCAGCTTTGCCACTTCAAGCCAGCGAGAACCGTGTCCATCATCCTCTGAAAAGTGGCTGGTGCAGAACAGAGGCCGAAGGAAAGAACTCGGAATTCGTAAAGTCCGTCTGGAGTCACAAACGTGTTTTTTTTTCTCTGTCTCATTTATCCACTTCAATTTGCCCTTAGCCACCCTTTAGATCGATGAACGAAAAATACTTCGCGCGTCGTAACCTGTCGAGTGAGTCGTCGACCCGTGGAAGCGGGTAGACGTCTTTTTGTGACGCTACTAAGCTTCGTGTAGTCAATACAGTATCAGAGCGTTCCGTCTTTTTTCTTCACTAGAATGACTGGCGAGGACCAAGCGCTGCTGGATAGTTGAATAGTCCCGTCGTCGAGCATCTCTTTTACTTGTGTCTGAATAGCCTCGCGTCCTTTGGCAGAAACGCGATAAGGCTGCTGCCGGATGGGGCGGACGTCATCGTCGGTAATAATTTGATGCTTCGTGAGGTGTGTTTGACGCACTTCAGAAGAAGAGGCGAAGCAAGATCAAAACTCCCTCAAAAGGTCTTGAAGTGCAGCTTTTCTCTCGTCTGACAGCGTCGAATTAATGTCGATGCGGTCTAGAAATTCCTCCTCCTCCTGCGTTTCCTCGGATGCGAAGCCCTCCGTGACGTCGGCAACATGGTCTCCATAAGCTAGGGTGGTTCCGCGGAAAAGATGCCGGTGCTCGTAATTGAAGTTCGTAACTTCGTATCGTTGACAGCCTGTCACGGACGCGCACGGCACTTCGGGCTGCGCACACACCTTGGAGCAGCAGAAGTGATAGGTTGCTTTCAGCCACCACGTCGCCGTCTAGGAAGTCTTCACAAGTGACTTTGATGGGAACAGTTGCTCGAGGTGGCAGCGTCACACAGTCGTCAGCAACACGCAGCGCAGGTCTACGACAATTATCAGCGTCTAAATCTGTTGCGCCTTGTGTCGAAAAGGTCACGATGACGCTCATGGAGATTTATGATGGCACCGTATTCCCGAAGGAAGTTCATGCCGATAATCAGCTGACGCGAACAGTCGCGAAGAACGAGGCAGCTGAGCACAAACGTTGACGCACGAATTTTCACTCTTGCGGTACAGCGACCCAGCGGTGATACAACGTGTCCTCCAGCTGTTCGAATTCACGTTCCATTCCACGGCGTGATCACTTTCCTGAGATATTTCGCTGGCCTCCCACTGATAATCGAATAGTCTGCGCCGGTGTCTACCAAAGCACTGACCTGAAGACCGTCAATCAGCACAGGTATGTCGAGTGACACGCGGTCACTAGGTCCAGATGTGGATGTCGGCGTTTCTTCGGTACTGCGATTATTCTCTGACGAAATGCCTTCGGAGTTGCGTGCAAGCGTCGATGGGAAGTCTTCCACTCTTTAAGTCCCAGCGACTTTGCCTCCGAACGCCGCTGCCTTCAGTTTTCGCGCACGACGGCTCGGGGAGCGTTCCCGCACCGTCACCCCGAAACGTGGCCTAGTGGCTGCGGGTCTCCTCGGAGATGGTGACCACGATTGCCGTCGTGTAAAGGGTTCACGCTGTTGCGCAAGATACTTTTCGATATTCCTTGGCTTTTGACCGATTCGGGGACGAGGGGAATTGCCGGAAAATCCGCGCAGCCCAAGTTGCCGGTATGGGCATTCGCGGTAAATGTGACCAGCCTCACCGCAATGATGGTAGAGGGGTCGTCTGTCTGGCGTACGCCAGAGATCAGACTTGCGCGTTGGTGCACGGCGACTATAGATGTCCGAATCAGCGTGCGCTGACTGAATCGCGACTAACGGCATCATTGTCTGGAGCGTGACGTATGGCATTGTCTGGATCGGGACGTGCGGCACTGTCTGGATCGGGACGTGCGGCACTGTCTGGGTCGGGACTGCTTGGCCAGAAAGAGGCGTGGCAGATCGCAAGGCTCCTGCGTACGTACGACGGTGACTGTCAGTAGACACAGGAGCCATTTCCGGATCAACCGACATGGGCGCAAAATGATGGGCGTGCAGCACCTGCTGGTCCTCGTCATGAATGACACTGGTGATAGAACCAACATCGATTTGCCTTGTCTCGTACATCTTTTCCATTTCTTCCCGGACGACAGATCGGATGATCTCACGAATCCATTCGAGGCTCTTGCTCAAAGGGGTGGCAAAAATTTCGGGAGTTGAGGCAGCATTCACTTGACGGTCAAACAGGGCAGACCGTTGGTGCAGTACTCGCTCCATTGTTGCCGCTCCAGTAAGGAACTCAGCAACACTTTTGGGGGGACTACGCACCAAACCAGCAAAAAGTTGTTCCTTCACACCACGCATTAGATGGCTCAACTTTTTTCTTCTGCCATAGAAGGATCCGCTCGCTTGAAAAGCCGTGTCATGTCCTCGACGTATATTGAGTTGGTCTCGTTGGGCATCTGGATGCGTGATTGTAGTGCACGCTCCGCCCGTTCGCGCCGGTCGGGACTCCTGTAGGTCTCCAGAAGGCGACGCTGGAACTCGCGCCAAGATGTCAGAACATCATCCCTGTTCAAAAACCACGTCTTGGCACAGTCTTTTAAGCAAGCGTACACGTTCCGGAGCTTCGCGGCATCATCCTAGTAATTGATCGCTGCGACACGTTTGAACTAACTCAGCCAGTCGTCAACTTCTTCATGCTGCTCTCCGTGAAAGGGGCTAGGCATGAGCGGGTTCTGGACTGGTGCAGTAGATCGGCCTGGAAGGTGTCAGAGCTTGCACGGGATCTTGTGTAGAAGTCATAGTCGCTGCGTCAGTGGTTGGTGTCTCAGGCGGTAGGCCTCGTTGGCGGCGGCTTAATCTATGAACAGGAGTGTTCACGGGTGCAGGGCTTGTGTTCCGGCTGCTGGATGGGGTCTTGGGCATCGGGTGGATCATGAGACGTTGTACCCAGCAATTCCATCAGTCTTGTCACTTTACTCACGACAAACTTGACTACAATACGCTCGTTGAGTCGACTAGCCAAACAGCGGCTCAGAAAGATTGTCTTTGCCCTCTTTCACTCTTCGATCTCACCCAAGCAAACCATGTGGCAATATATATATATATATATATATATATATATATATATATATATATATATATATATATGTATATATATGGGTGCATATATATTCTATATATATGTCCTTCCTGACCAGTGACGTAGGTTATTCGCCCCCCCCCCCCACTCGCAAAAGTGTTGGTATGTCACCGATACGTGTTAGATTTTTCATCTCGCTTTCAGGCGATAGGCTGGTACTTTAGGCACGACTTAAGCGTAGCCTTTTCAGATTGTCGATTAGGAGGAGTGACGATACGGCTCCACGAAATAACCTTAGCGTTGTATTTCACGTATGCTGCGATTTCTGCATGGCTATCACTCATATCGAAGCTTCTTGCACATAAGTCGTCATATTAGGCTATGTGAGTGTAGTTATGTTGACCTTCACATATCCAGCTTCAAGGAATTCGGGCACTTCAGCACTGCATGACGTCACTGATAGGTGTTTTGGTAGCGTTCGTGTGTCAGATGTTTCGACTGGTAATTTCTCACTTTGACGCTTTGACTCTGAGTTATGAACTGTTTTGCTGTTATGATGGTTGGAAGATTCTCTTTAAATAAGTCAGCCTATGCTTAATTACCTATGCGTTGTATAACTATTGCGTCTTTGCTAATGAGATCGCAAGTTTTTCAATCTGCCATTTCTGCCTCACTCCAAGGAGTGCTTCGGAACAGATTCCGAGAACTGCAAAGGTGATATTTCAAGCTTTGTGATTCTTTACTGATTTTTTCTTTGTGGCATTTCGCTCCCGAAACTAGATTTACTTCTTGCATTAAGTGGTTTCCACCATTCTTAACGTAGGATGCAATAAAAAGGGTCTGTTCATGACACCGACCTCATTTGTTACGGAGGTGCAGCTTCTTATCGGAGGCCAATCACGATTGTCAGAAGCCTAAGTGCTACTTCACCTTTTGTACGTTTGTCTTGGGCGCCAGTTTAGGTCTTCTATAGGTCAAAGAAGCTGCTCTCTTCGCCTTGGTAAGGTCTTTGATATTTTACACTATACATTTAATGCCCATGCATTTGCCTATACATTTAATGTCCGCTTTTAATGCCCATACTTCACAATTATTTGCTAAATACAAAATAATCGAATTAAACCTGCTCTACGAATACTCTTAGCAGTCTCTTTTAGATCTGATCCTATAAAAGGTCGTGGCTATACACGTAGTTTAGCTAACTTGCAATTAAATCCTTCAACACGCCTACACCAATACTCTGAATATTCGCATGTGCCGAGACCGCGCACAAATTATTGGTTTTAGACATTGAGTTATTGCTTGCCGAATATACTAAATAAGTTAGGAATTAATTATGAAAATGTTCTAGTGCTCTCTAATATTTTATCTTAAATATGCTTTATCATTTTTGTGTGTAGAATTACTTTCTGTTTGCTTACTTCTTTCTTCCGATGTATAGCATGTGCGTTTTCGGTCAGTATAGTTTATTTAAATTTTTTGCTCTGATGCGAAGCATATGCATTGCTGGTTTAAACTGTCCTGTGTTTAACTTGATTTCGCCATTTTCGTTGCCACAATTGCCATGGGGATATGGGGCTTTGTCAAGCTGTTTTATACAGCTTGTTTACTTACTGTACAATTGTACGTGGTAAAAAAACTAAACTCAAACTCAAACTCATTTGTGCAACCAAGAGGCCATCATTTTCCCACCTACGCGACTCGACAATTCCTGACTAGGAGTGGTAAGGCTCAAAGATACCCAATGACGGGACTCGTAGCGACGCACTCACCAAACACCTGGCGAAGCAGATACCCCTGCTAGAAGATAACGTGTTAAGTACTGATTTTTTAAAATCAAAATAATTGCGACTGAAATTGGCGCACCAGAACAGCATTATAGAACGGTCGCTTTTGAAACGGGAAACAAAGTCTCCCAGCGCAGTATCTTCATCGACTGACCTAGTGAGGAGGCTATGAGTAAATAGCATCATTACAAATGGATGAACATTTCATATCACGTCGATACAAAAGCGGATAATGAATCTTGTGAGATTACGCAATGACAAAGCAGAGCTACTGAAAGAACGATTGCCATCCAGCCGTTGGTAGAAGAAAGCTGCCAATAAAAAAGTATGTCTTTTTTGCTGAGAAAAAAGCCTTTGATTGACCGGAGAAGCGTGTCAAGTCGCAGCTTCTGCCAAGCGTTCAATGCCTTTCTGGTGTGGTCGCTCCACCTTTCGTCTACGTTGTACAACTGATTATACCTACCCAGAGCCAATATCATTCACTCAGTGCATTATTTCACTTGTGTGCTGCTTAAGTCTTCAATGTTGGTTATTTCAATTTGCGGAGGTACCTCTCCCAAAAGATGCTGGTCCCACATTCGAAGCACCAATGAGGTAAACTTCTTCGTCAACGAAGAAACTTTTTATTCTGATTGAATATGCTTTCTAATATAGCTATTTCCTAAATATGCGCAGACAATTTTTTCTCTTGATCGCCTTTTAGGTGCTTGCATTGCCACTGGACAGGGTTTATCTCAGAAGACTAGTTACACAAAGTATTTTTATTCATAACCTATGGCATACGATGGAAGGGCTAACGCATGCTATCTAGGAACTCTGCAGGGTTTCTCTTTATTCACTTCACACGGGGTCTCATTCTCTGCAGAGTGTATAGATATGGACTTCTTCGTAGCGTGTAACGCAAGTTACGTGTTTAGAGAGAACATGCGCGCAGCTGCGACTGTCCAGTTTAACACGTTCAGGGGTCACCTATCAGAAGCGGTCTGTAAAAGTGTCCTTTTTATAGTGCGATGTTTCAAGGCACCCAGCCTTAAGTTGCTACAAAATTCTGTCTTGTGGTAATTTATGCGTGTCATTCTAATCAATTCATGTTATTTGTATAAATATTATAACTATTTATTATTAAGAAAACACCTAAAACAGTGATTGTGTCGAGCAGGTGCTTCGACAAGCAGACCTTGCTTTCTCAAGACTAGACAACAAGAGTTCCGTTCTAGCCTTGTGGAGGACAAGTTAAATAGTCTAAATGTTGGCTCACCTCAACTCTTTTTTACTTATTTTTTTCGTCAGACACTCCCATATTACACTTTCTGCTGGTGCTTATGAAGTAAATCCAAGCTCTAATTCAGCATAATTAAAATGTGATGTGTAGTGCGAATTGCTTTTTGGTTCTGTTCATTTCTTGCTGAACTGATTGGGCTTATTACGTTGATCGCAGGAAGCGGCACATTGAATGAATTGTAAAAAGTGGTTGTACTTTCAGCAAAAAGATAATATGTAACAGTACACTTTGAAGTGTAGTTAAGTGAACACAACTTTATTATGAGGTGAGAGTTAGGGGGTTCGAACATATATCTTAGTTCTTTTTTAGATACTGTAGTTGTTACAAATGATAAGATCAAATTGTATACGAATTGTGTGCATACCACCACAAAAGGTTCATTGTACAGAAGCGTAAGTGAGATCGGCAACTTAGGTGTCGGTCATTATACATTTCGAGCGACGAAGAAAACGTGTTTACGTACTTAGGGTTGTCCAAAAAACGTATTTATTTTTCATTCAAGCATTTCACCAGAGTGACAAAATTTTGCAAAAGTGAACTTTACAATGACCCTATGATAGTCGATGTGTTTTTCGTCCAATTCCCGTTACAGGGAACCTTGTGTATATGCGAAGCAGAGGGCCCTGATGCTTACACTTGCGGTGACATAGAGGTTAGTATTCATTGTTGCGTTGCGTCTTAGAGAAACCTCAAGAGGCGCAAAGCACGCACTTATGAACCGGTGTTTCCTACTGGAACATGTGAATCGCTGCTAATCGGGAATGAGATACAAAAGACTCCATTTGGACGCAAAGAGCCACAGTCCGCTTTTAGGTGACGCGGACGCTGTGCATTTACATTGTTGAACAACGTAAAGTAGAGATCATCTACCTGCCGTAGCTTGAAGGTCAAGATACAGCGCCAATATATAAACACGATTCAGTCGAATTTTAGAGTGCGAGTGCTGTGCAAGAACGGAATGTCTAGCGGAGAATAAATGCAATAATTTTCGGGGTCAATCAAAATGGAACGTGACGACCGCGTTTCCTTGCCCGGGTGAGTGGTTGGATTTCCGCAAGGATACACCGGGACGCGTGCGCGCAACTGTTTTCGACGTCCCCTACCGGCCAACGTCCGCAAACGTAGGACGGACTAGTGCCAGCAACGCAGCACTCTCTAGTCAGCTGAAGGTGCCTATACGTGGTGGCCAGTGAGTGGTTGTGCAGCGCGAGCAGTCGGTTTTAAATGCGAAGCATTTCTCAGTGAACTTGGGCGATTTCAAGCGTATCTATCTATCTATCTATCTATCTATCTATCTATCTATCTATCTATCTATCTATCTATCTATCTATCTATCTATCTATCTATCTATCTATCTATCTATCTGTCTATCTATCTATCTATCTGTCTATCTATCTATCTATCTATCTATCTCTCTCTCTCTCTCTCTCTCTCTATCTATCTATCTATCTGTCTATCTATCTATCTATTTATCTATATCTATCTATCTATCTATCTATTTATCTATCTGTCTATCTATCTATCTATCTGCCTACGAACTTTAGCTCTACTGGCCGTTTCGTTAATAATATTGATACCAGATAATATATGGCATAACATGACTGTATGACGAGCATGATTGACTAGTCATAACATGACTATAAAGACATGTATGTAATGACTGTGATGGTATATATTTTATGGTCTTCCTGCTCTCACGGTGGTTTTGTTCACAAGACATGTTGCAAAACTGATATGGCAAGACATATGACTGCATGGCGAACACAAGTGACAGGCCCAGACCTGGAAATAATTACATTCATGTCATGTAAGCCGTGAGTCATGACTACATGCTACGCTGATGATGCACTCGCAGTCATTTTGCTAGCGGTTTTTATTACTTACTTTTGCACATTATACAATTACAATACTGTGCATAACAGTACATACAGAGGTAACGAACAGAATTGTTACTTAGTGACTGGAGTTTTTTCATACGGACAAAAGACTCAATAAGTTTGAGCCACTCTGGAATGGGGTCTTTAGTTTTAGACTCTTCAATAAACTTCGTGATCATTTGGCGGAAATATTCACGAATGGGTAGTGTATTGGTGTCGGCATGGAGGACTGCTATATACTTTTCCTTCATGCTGTGAAGGCCGAGCAACATAACAATATCATGGGTGCTCCATCGTCTTCTTCATTAGAGAGTAAAAACCTGATCACATAGGCACCCACCGTTAAACATTTTTTGATAGTTCTCTGCAGAATGTCACAGAAGTACCCCTCTTCCCAACAGTTTAGAAAGACCTTTCGTGGTTTCACGTTTACGAGAGAGAAAACAGTGCATTCTCTACGGTACAAACAGTCTCCTTCTTTGCATCCACGATTTAAATTCTGGAGTCCCTGCATGGAGCTTAAAAATGATTTCGAACTAGATGGGACAGCCATTTTTTTTACTCAGGCCAGTACATTTTGGCCACGTCCAGCAGGATGCAAGCTCCTGTATCTTGGTACTGGTAAAGCAACGTCGAGAATGTCTCTATACAACCTTTTTCGTTTTACTCCGCTAGATATTCGCTGGAGAAGCGTGTCAATAAAAATTGATTGCACCAACTACTTCTTTTAGATAACCATAAAGCGCTCCATGCACATAGTCCGAGGTTACAACGAGTGAAGATAAAACTCTTCCGCATCCTAAAATTTAATATTACGGGACGTGAATGCATGACGAAGCTAGGTATATGACAGGTGCAAGCATGATAATCATCTCATGCGTGTGATGTAAGAACATGACAACAAACAGCGGTCATGATGCGCTCGTTGTCGTTTCGCTAGATGCACAAATACCAAATTTGGTACTACGTGACGTGTGTGAATAACGAAGGTAAATGACACGTCCAAAAATGATAGTTATGAAATGCATGTCATGTAACAACATGAATACATGCC